TGTAATAAATTTTGCTCTTAACAATATTGCTCTCTTAGATTTTTGCTCTTAGATGCATAGATATCGAGAAAAATACGAATATATGAAAATTTTATTAATTCTTTGTTTTTTGCAAGTTATAGATGGTAACACTGGGGAATCTGAGCATCTTACAAAAAACCTTTTAGAACAAAAGTTGTAACAAATCTTATTCTTAACAATATTGCTCTCTTGCACTTTTGTTCTAAGATACATAGATATCGAGAAGAATACAAAAATATGAAAATTTGGCGATTTTTTGTTTTTTCTGGAATTGGAGCATGTCATAAAAAAACTTATAGAATAAAAGTTGTAGCAAATACGAAAAGAACGAAAAACGAGAAGAATACCAAAATATGAAAATTTGAGGAATTTTTTCCTTTTTCAACTTATAAAAAAACTTTTAACACAAAAGTTATAACAAATCTTATATCGAGATTTCACTTACTTCATCAAGTCCATCAATAGAATGATAAACAACTTGATATCCATGAAGACCCGAATGATTCCTACTTTGCCAGGAAACTAAAACCGAGAAAGGTTGGATATCCTGAATCGCCAATTTTATAATTAAGGGTTGATCACAAAACTGCTCCGGTTTTAAATTCAAAAAAACTCTCCCTCTTAATTCGGGGGGATGCTCGCATTTTAACGAATGCAAAGCCGGGTCGACCAATTTCTGATGATCCCTCAACCATTCCCACAATTCGTGAGAATCGCAACTACACGATAAAGGGTTTTCTAAAAAAAATTTTTTAAATTCAATAATTAAAAATTTATTTAACTGATTATTTAATCACCTTCAGTTCTTAAAGATCTTATTTGAGTTTCCAAAGGGCGAAAAGCACTCAATGGGATATTTTCCAAATAATTCCTGCTTAAATCCAAACTCCTTAGTTTTTTTAACGGCTTAAATGCATCCGTTGAAACTGAAGATATCCAATTTCCGAAGAGATAAAGCTCAACTAAATTATCTAAGTGTTGAAAAACCGATTTTCCAATCCTTCCGATGTGATTGTAAGATAAATCAAGAATTTGTAACGATTTTAAATCAATTGGGAACTCCTCAAGTTCTTTTAATTTGTTTTGAGTTAAATTTAATAATCTTAAATGAGTTAAACCTTGTAATCTTTCTTGCGGTAATAACTCCAACTCATTTATCCTTAAATCTAATGTTAATAAATTTGGGAGGCTTCCAAAAGCACCAGGAGAAATCCGGCTAATTTTATTATTTCCCAAGTAAATGTGTTGTAAAGATGGGAAAGATTCAAAATCTTTACTGGTTACAATCGTTAAATTTGTGTGTGTGATGTAAATTTCTTCCAAAACGGGATATTTCCCTGTAATCCCAATATCGTGGACTCTCACCAAAGGATTTCCGGTTAAATTTAACCAATTTAAATTGGGTAAAGTTGTTTCTGATAAAGCGGAAGTTGGTATTTGTCTAAATCGGTTTTCAGCCAAATGAATTCGCTTTAATTGTAAAGAAAAATGAAAAAAATTCGTCGGTAACGCAGCCAATTGATTCGAACTCAAATCCACCGACGTTAATTGGCTCAGATTTAAAGACGCAAACCCGGAAATTGAAGAAATCCGATTTCCACTTAAATCTAAATCTTTCAAATTCACCAATTTGTTTAATTTGTTCGCTTCGAACGAAGAAATTTTATTTCTATCCAACGATAACGTTTCTAAACTAGAAATGTTTAGCGCTAAAAACGGAATTTCGCTAAAATTATTTCCCCCCAATTTCAATTCTTTTAGAACCCCTAAATTCTCGAAAACCTCTCGTTTTAAGTCGACCAATAAATTTTCAGTTAAATCAATTTTAATTAGATTTTTATTTTTCGTAAAAACATCTTTCGATATTCTCGTGATGTTGCAAAATTGAATCGATAAATATTGAAGGGATGGTAATTTCGATAAAGAATTATCGAAGAATGTGAAATTATTTCCTCCAAGTTTTAGAATTCGTAATCCCTCGATGTCTAAGTGTTTTAAATCGAAGATTTCCAAGTTGTTTTCTTCTAAGTTAAGCTCGTTTAAGTTGTTTAAACCGTTGAAAGCACCTTTTTCGATCGTTTTAATGGTTGAATTCATCAAATTAAGAAATCTAAAACGTAAATTAAAGTATTAAATTTTATATAATACGCTAAAAAGTCAGCAACAACCTGTTCTTTTGGTTTTAAAACAATGCGAAATTTTCTAACAATTATATTGGCTGTATTTTTAGGAATTGTGATATGATATGTATGTTAAATTGTAGCTTAAAGATTCCTATTTATGATATGATATAAAGACTATAAAATAATATTATTGAAATTTCCAGGAAAAAGTCATTAACGGAATTGTCAAATTTATAATTCAAAAATAATACGAAATTTTCAAAAAATCGCATCAACTGTATTTTTAAAAATGTTGATATAATTCGTATGTTAAATTGTAGCTTAATGATTCTAGTTTATAATATGATAAAAAATCTATAAAGTAATATTATTGCAATTTCCAGGAAAATGTCATTAAAGAAGGAATTGTCAAATTAATAAATCAAAAATAATACGTAATTTTCAAAAAATCGTATCAGATGTATTTTTACGAATCATGATATGATTTGTATGTTGAATTGTAGCTTAAAGATTCTAGTTTATGATATGATAAAAAGGCTATAACGTATTATTGAAATTTCCAAGAAAAATCATTAAAGAAGGAATTATCAAATTTATAAATCAAAAATAATACGTAATTTTCAAATAATCATATCATCTATATTTTTAAGAATCATGATATGATACGTATGTTAAATTGTAGCTTAAAGATTCTATTTTATGATGTGATATAGACTATAAGATAATATTATTGAAATTTCCAGAAAAATATAAAAGTAGAAATAGTCAAATTTATAAATCAAAAATTATAGGTAATTTTCAAAAAATCGTATCAGCTGTATTTTTAAGAATCATGATATGATACGTATGTTAAATGGTGACATAAAGATTCTATTTTATGATGTGATATAAAGACTATAAGGTAATATTATTGAAATTTCCAGGAAAATGCCATTAAAGAAGGAATTGTCAACTTTATAAATCAAAAATATTAAGTGATTTTCAAAAAATCGTATCACCTGTACTTTTAAGAATCATGATATGGTACGCATGTCAAATTTTAGCTTCAATATTCTAGTTTATGATATGATAAAAAGACTATAACGTAATATTATTGAAATTTCCAAGAAAAAATCATTAAAGAAGGAATTGTCAAATTTATAAATCAAAAATAATACGTAATTTTCAAGAAATCGTATCGTCTTTATTTTTAAGGATAATAATATGATATGTATGTTAAATTGTAGCTTAAAGATTCTAGTTTATGATATGCTATAAAGACTATAATATAATATTATTGAAATTTCCAGGTGAAAGGCATTAAAGAAGGAATTGTCAAATTTATGAATCAAAAATAATACATAATTTTCAAAAAATCGTATTGGCTGTATTTTTAAGAATCATCATATGATACGTATGTTAAATTATAGCTTAAAGATTCTAGTTTATGATATGACATCATGACTATCAGGTGATATTATTGAAATTTCTAGGAAAATGTCATTAAAGGAAGAATTGTCAAACTTATTCATCAAAAATATGGGTTTTTCAAAAAATCGTATCTGCTGTATTTTTAAGAAACATTATATGATATATATGTTAAATTGTAGCTTAAAGATTCCGGTTTATGATATGATATAAAGACTATAAGATAATATTATTNATCGTTTTAATGGTTGAATTCATCAAATTAAGAAATCTAAAACGTAAATTAAAGTATTAAATTTTATATAATACGCTAAAAAGTCAGCAACAACCTGTTCTTTTGGTTTTAAAACAATGCGAAATTTTCTAAAAATTATATTGGCTGTATTTTTAGGAATTGTGATATGATATGTATGTTAAATTGTAGCTTAAAGATTCCTATTTATATAATATAAAGACTATAAGATAATAGTATTGAAATTTCCAGGAAAAAGTCATTAACGGAATTGTCAACTTTATAATTCAAAAATAATACGAAATTTTCAAAAAATCGTATCAGCTGCATTTTTAAGAATCATGATATGATTCGTATGTTAAATTGTAGCTTAAAGATTTTAGTTTATGATATGATAAAAAGGCTATAACGTATTATTGAAATTTCCAAGAAAAATCATTAAAGAAGGAATTGTCAAATTTATAAATCAAAAATAATACGTAATTTTCAAAAAATCGTATCGTCTTTATTTTTAAGGATAATAATATGATATGTATGTTAAATTGTAGCTTAAAGATTCTAGTTTATGATATGCCATAAAGACTATAATATAATATTATTGAAATTTCCAGGAGAAAGGCATTAAAGAAGGAATTGTCAAATTTATGAATCAAAAATAATACATAATTTTCAAAAAATCGTATTGGCTGTATTTTTAAGAATTATGATATGATACGTATGTTAAATTGTAGCTTAAAGATTCTAGTTTATGATATGACATCATGACTATCAGGTGATATTATTGAAATTTCTAGGAAAATGTCATTGAAGGAAGAATTGTCAAACTTATTCATCAAAAATACTGGTTTTTCACAAAATCCTATCTGCTGTATTTTTAAGAAACATTATATGATATATATGTTAAATTGTAGCTTCAAGATTCCGGTTTATGATATGATATAAAGACTATAAGATAATATTAATAAAATTTCCAAGAAAAAGTCATTAAAGAAGGAATTGTCAAATTTATAAATCAAAAATAATACGAATTTTCAAAAAATCGTATCGGCTGTATTTTTAAAAATTATGATATGATACGTATGTTAAATTGTAGCTTAAAGATTCTAGTTTATGATATGACATCATGACTATCAGGTGATATAATTGAAATTTCCAGGAAAATGTCATTAAAAAAGGAATTGTCAAACTTATTCATCAAAAATACTGGTTTTGCAAAAAATCGTATCTGCTGTATTTTTAAGAATCATTATATGATATATATATTAAATTGTAGCTTAAAGATTCCGGTTTATGATATGATATAAAGACTATAAGATAATATTAATAAAATTTCCAAGAAAAAGTCATTAAAGAAGGAATTGTCAAATTTATAAATCAAAAATAATACGAAATTTTCAAAAAATCGTATCGGATGTATTTTTAAAAATTATGATATGATGCGTATGTTAAATTGTAGCTCAAAGATTCAAGTTTATGATATGGTATAAAGACTATAAGGTAATATTATTGAAAGTTACAGAAAAATATCATTAAAGAAGGGAATTGTCAAATTTATAAATCAAAAATAATACTAAATTTTCAAAATATCGTATCAGCTGTATTTTTAAGAATCATCATATGATACGTATGTTAAATTGTAGCTTAAAGATTCTAGTTTATGATATGACATCATGACTATCAGGTGATATAATTGAAATTTCCAGGAAAATGTCATTAAAAAAGGAATTGTCAAACTTATTCATCAAAAATACTGGTTTTGCAAAAAATCGTATCTGCTGTATTTTTAAGAATCATTATATGATATATATATTAAATTGTAGCTTAAAGATTCCGGTTTATGATATCATATAAAGACTATAAGATAATATTATTGAAATTTCCAGGAAAAAGTCATTAAAGAAGGAATTGTCAAATTTATTAATCAAAAATAATACGTAATTTTCAAAAAATCGTATCGGCTGTATTTTTAAGAATCATAATATGATACGTATGTTAAATTGTAGCTTAAAGATTCTAGTTTGACATGATATAAAGACTATAAGGTAATATTATTGAAATTTTCAGGAAAAAGTCATTAAAGAAATTGTCAAATTTATAAATCAAAATAATACGTAATTTTCAAAAAATCGTATCAGCCGTATTTTTAAGAATCATGATATGAAACATATGTTATATTGTAGCTGAAAGATTCTAGTTTATGATATCATTTAAAGATTACAAGGTAATATTATTGAAATTTTCAGGAAAAAGTCATTAAAGAAGGAATTGTTAAATTTATAAATCAAAAATAATACTTGAATTTCAAAAAATCGTATCAGCTGTACTTTTCGGAGTCATGATATGATTCGTATGTTAAATTGTAGCTTAAAGATTCTAGTTTGTGATATAATATAAAGACTATGAGGTGATATTGTTGAAATATCTAGGAAAATGTCATTAATAAAAGAATTGTTAAATTTATAAATCAAAAATAACACGTAATTTTCAAAAACTCATATCAGCTGTATTTTTTCTAATCATGATATGATATGTGTGTTAAATTGTAGCTTAAAGATTCTAGTTGATCATATGATAAAAAGACTATCAGGTAATATTATTGAAATTTCCAAGCAAAAATTATTAAAGAATAGATTGTCTAACTTATAAACCAAAAATAATACGTGATTTTCAAAAAAATCGTATAAGCTGTATTTTTAAGAATCATGATATGACTTGTATGTTAATTTGTATCTTAAAGATTCTAATGTATGATATGATATAAAGACTATAAGGTAATATTATTGAAATTTTCAGGAAAAAGTCATTAAAGGAATTGTCAAATTTATAAATCAAAACAATAGGTAATTTTCAAAAAATCGTATGGGCTGTATTTTTCAGAATCATGATATGATATGTATGTTAAATTGTAGCTTACGGATTGCAGTTTATGATTTCATATAAAAACTATAAGGTAATATTATTGAAATTTCCAGAAAACAATTATTAAAGAAGAAACTGTAAAATTTATACATTATTCAACTAAATGGAAAATCATGAAACTTTAAGATAATTTTTGTCGAAAATTTTCTTATGTAACCAATATTAATATTGACTGTACTAGATTCTGAAAAAAAGTCATCTTTCATATTCCGTAATAGAAATGGGGTATTGCTATTTGAACAAAATATCGATGCTTTTGGGAAACCTGTATATCAAAAATAACGAGAATTTCAAAGAATCATGCCAACTCTATTTTTAACAGTTACAAAACGATTTATATCCTAAATTGAAGCTAAAAGACTCCAGTTTATGATAAGATATAAAAACGTTAATGATGAATATTAAAAATTTCCTGAAAAAAAATTTTAATTGCGGAATTGTCAAATTTATACATAAAGAAAAATCACTTTAAAAAAAATCATACCAACTGCATTTTTAACAGTTAAAAAACGATTTATATCTTAAATTCAAGCTATAAGGCTCCAGTTTATAATAAGATATAAAAACGTTGATGTAGGATAATAAAAATTTTAATTGAGGAAATATCAAATTTATAAATCTCATATAATACGAAGTTTTCAGAAAAAAAAAACATATCGACTGCATTTTTCGGGATCATGATATGATATGTATGTTAAATTGTAGCTTAAAGATTCTAGTTTATGATATGATATAATAATTTACAGAACAAAGTATTAAAGTAAAAATAGCCAAATTTATAAATCAAAAGGGTGTTGCAAACTTTTTGGCAGATATAAATTATTGTTATAATTTCAAATCAAACCTTATCGGTAAACGTTCTTGAAAAACATCCTCTTGGAGAACACTCAATAAATTATTCGATAAATCTAAAACCCTTAACTTTTTCAAATTAACCAAAGCTTTCTGTTCGATCATTTCGATTCCATTCCCAGCTAAATAAAGTTCTTCTAAATCGTGTAATTCAGCGAACGTAGTCGTGGTTATAACTTTTAATTGATTTATACTCAAATCGAGGAATTTTAAAGCTTGCATCGGTTCGAAAGTCTTATCCTCAATCGTATTAATACTATTATTATTTAAATAAACTCTCTGTATCAATAATAAATCCCGAAATAAAGCCCTATCTAATTTTTTTAATTTATTATGACTTAACCACATTATTTGAACGCTCGATTGTCCTTTTAATGAATCGTTACTTAACGAAACGATTCGATTCGAATCCAATTGTATTGAAATTAACGACGGTGATTCTCTCATAAAAACGTCTTCCAATTCGACGATTTCATTCCCTTGCAAATTGACGTGCTGTAAACTTTGTAACGTTCGAAATGAGCCAACATCAATCGTTGAAATCAAATTATTTTGTAGGTGAAGCTCTAACAACGACGGTAAAGGGTCAAAAACTCCGCGATAAATCGTTTTGATACGATTATTATGAAGCCGAATCTCTTTTAAAGACACGGTCTTATCAAAAGTTCCTGGATCCAAATCAACGATTAAGTTTGAATCTAAACTTAACGATGTTAAATTTTTATTTTCAATAAATAAATCTTTCGGGATAATCGGGATAAAATTCGAACTCAAATGAAGTTGAGATAAATTAATTAAAGTTGTCAACGAGTTTGGATGAATTTGTCTTATTGCGTTTTGTTGTAAATAAATAATCGTGATATTTTCCGAATCAGTAAAAGCATCTAACGGTATTTCAAGGACGTTATTCTCCGATAATAAAAGTTCTTTAAGTTCTGGTAATCTCGAAAATAAACCGTTAATATAATGGATGTGATTATGACTTAAATCGATCGACCTCAAATTTTTATTCGATTGAAACGTTTGCGAATCCAAAAAGACGATTTTATTATGACTCAAATCGATCGATTCTAAATTAATTAAAGAAATAAACGCGTTTGGGTGGACGCTTTCGATGATGTTGTAATATAAACTTAAAGTTTTTACGGACGGGGTTGGTTTAAAACATTCTTCGCCTAAATCTTCGAAATTATTTGAGCTCAAATCTAAATATAATAAAGCGTCCAATCTTGAGTAACCATCATCTTGTATCCTATTAATTTCGTTCCAAGCTAATTTTAATATTTTTAATCGATCCAATCGCCTTAATGATGTTATTGGAAAATATTGTAATCGATTTTCGGATAAATCCAATTCGGTTAAAGTTCCTTCTAATCCAGCAAAACCATACTCGGAAATTTTTAAAACTTTATTCCCTTTCACGTTCAATTTAATCAAGTTTAACCCGTAAAAACTATAACTTGGTAAATCAGAAATTTCATTCGATTCCAAATCTAAAGCGATTAACTTTAGCAAACCGCTAAAAGCTTTCTGGGGAATTTCTTTTAATTGTCCCGATAATAAACTAATCGATTCAATTTCCGGTTTTAAAACGAACAATGCGTCATCGAGTAATTCCTCGATATTCGATTGGGAAATTTGTAAATGTTTGATGACGGTTCCATCTGGGAAAAAATCTGACGACAATTTCGTTATGGATTTGTCCAGGTCGTAGACGCTTAATGATTGGATTGGACCGTGGACGGTTTTTAAAACTTGTCTTAGTGAGTTTGATGTCGCCGCTGGGCATTCTAGAAAAATTCCGTCTTCAAAACTGTAACAGGGACACGATGGGTTTTGATGGACGTCCGGACAGTGGACTTCTATGTCTTCTTGAGCCCTTGGGCAGGTTGTAATGAGGAGTCCTGCCGTTACAATTAGGGTGAACAAGTGGGCGCCATTTAGCGCCATCAGGAGCCGGACATCGATGGGATTGTTATCGAAGAGAACATTTTCTGAAAAGAGAAACAAAATTTTATTAAATTTCGATGTGGATGGATTAAGTCAAGATTGTTACACCGTCGAAAGTTAAAAATTGGTACAGTCCAACCTCAAATGTTCCTTAATAACCTCAAAAAGTTTCATTTCTTCATTCCGATTCGTTTTGGAGAAAACAATTTTTTTCTTAACCTTCTTTTGTACAAACGCATATCAAATTGACGATGTTTAAAAATGTTTATAAAATGAATTAGTTACCGTGGAAACTTAAAATTTGGTACAATCTAGCCTCAAACGTTCCTTTATAACCTCAAAAAGTTTCATGTCTTAATTCCGATTCGTTTTGGAGAAAACAATTTTTTTCTTTAACCTTGTTTTGAACAAATGTCATATCAAATTGAAGATGTTTAAAAATGTCTAAGTAATAAATTAGCGACAGTGGAAACTTAAAATTTGGTACAACCTAACCTCAAACGTTCCTTAATAACCTCAAAAAGTTTCATGTTTTAATTCCGATTGGTTTTGGAGAAAACAATTTTTTTCTTTAACCTTGTTTTGAACAAATGTCATATCAAATTGAAGATGTTTAAAAATGTCTAAATAATAAATTAGACACAGTGGAAACTTAAAATTTGGTACAACCAAACCTCAAACGTTCCTTAATAACCTCAAAAAGTTTCATTTCTTAATTCCGATTTGTTTTGGAGAAAACAATTTTTTTCTTTAATCTTGTTTTGAATAAACGTCATATCAAATTGAAGATGTTTAAAAATGTCTAAATAATAAATTAGCCACAGTGGAAACTTAAAATTTGGTACAACCTAACCTCAAACGTTCCTTTGTAACCTCAAAAAGTTTCATTTCTTAATTCCGATTCATTTTGGAGAAAACAATTTTTTTCTTTAACCTTGTTTTGTACAAACGCATATAAAATTGAAGATGTTTAAAAAAGTCTAAATAATAAATTAGCCACAGTGGATACTTAAAATTTGGTACAACCTAACCTCAAACGTTCCTTAATAACCTCAAAAAGTTTCATGTTTTAATTCCGATTGGTTTTGGAGAAAACAATTTTTTTCTTTAACCTTGTTTTGAATAAACGTCATATCAAATTGAAGATGTTTAAAAATGTCTAAATAATAAATTAGGTACAGTGGAAACTTAAAATTTGGTACAAGCTAACCTCAAACGTTCATTAATAACCTCAAAAAGTTTCATTTCTTAATTCCGATTCGTTTTGGAGAAAACAATTTTTTTCTTTAACCTTGTTTTGAACAACCGTCATATCAACTTGAAGATGTTTAAAAATGTCTAAATAATAAATTAGCCACAGTGGAAACTTAAAATTTGGTACAACCTAACCTCAAACGTTCCTTAATAACCTCAAAAAGTTTCATTTCTTAATTCCGATTCGTTTTGGAGAAAACAATTTTTTTCTTTAACCTTGTTTTGTACAAAGACATACCAAATTGACGATGTTTAAATATGTTTATAAAATTAATTAGTCACCGTGGAACCTTAAAATTTGGTACACCCTAACCGCAAACGTTCCTTAATAACCTCAAAAAGTTTCATTTCTTAATTCCGATTCGTTTTGGAGAAAACAATTTTTTTCTTTAACCTTGTTTTGAATAAACGTCATATCAAATTGAAGATGTTTAAAAATGTCTAAATAATAAATTAACCAAAGTGGAAACTTAAAATTTGGTACAACCTAACCTCAAACGTTCCTTTGTAACTTCAAAAAGTTTCATGTCTTAATTCCGATTCGTTTTAAAGAAAACAATTTTTTTTAACCTTGTTTTGTACAAACATGATGTTTGTATCAGTTATTTCAACAAATTTTCGTATTTTTCTCGATATGTATGCACCTGAGAGCAAAAGTGTAAAAGAAATATTTTGTTAAGAATAAAATTTGCTACAACTTTTATCCTAAAAGTCCTTGTGTAAGATGCTCCGAATCCCAAGCGATAGCATCAATAGCTTTGAAACCACGAAATCAACAAATTTTCATATTTTCGTACTTTTCTCGATAGTTATCCATTTGGGAACAAAAGTCTAAACGAGCAATATTGTTAAGAATAAAATTTGCTATAACTTTTACTCTAAAAGTCTTTTTGTTATATGTTCCGAATCCTGAGCGTTAGCATCAATAGCATTAAAAAGCACGAAATCAACAAATTTTCATATTTTCGTATTTTTCTCGACATTCATGCATCTCAGAGCAAAAGTGTGAAAGAGCAATATTGTTAAGAATAAAATTTGCTACAACTTCTATTCCAAAAGTCTTTTTGTAGTATACTCCGACTCCCAAGCGATAGCATCAATAGCTTTGAAACCACGAAATCAACAAATTTTCATATTTTCCTATTTGTCTCGATATTTATGCATCTGTGAGCAAAAGTGTAAAAGAGCAATATTGTTAAGAATAAAATTTGCTACAACTTCTATTCTAAAAGTCTTTTTGCAGTATGTTCCGAATCCCAAGCGTTATCATCAATAGCATTGAAAACCACTAAATCAACAAATTTTCATATTTTCGTATTTTTCTCGACATTCATACATCTGAGAGCAAAAGTATAAAAAAGCAATATTGTTAAGAATAAAATTTGCTAGAATTTTTGTTCTAAAAGTCTTTTACTAATATGGTCCAAATCCCGAGCGTTAGCATCAATAGCATTGAAAACCAGGAAATCAACACATTTTCATATTTTCGTGTTTTTCTCAATATTCATGCATCTGAGAGCAAAAGTGTAAAAGAAATATTTTGTTAAGAATAGAATTTGCTACAACTTTTATTCTAAAAGTCGTTTTGTAATATGCTCCGAATCCCGAGCGTTAGCATCAATAGCATTGAAAACCACGAAATCAACAAATTTTCATATTTTAATATTTTCGTATTTTTCTTCATATTCATTTATCTGAGAGCAAAAGTGTAAAAGCTATATTGTTAAGAATACAATTTGCTACAACTTTTATTCTGAAAGTATTAAGATTATGCGTGATATGTTTTAACAGTTTAACCAACCTTTTTATTTTTTTTATATATTAACAATTAATAATAACAATATTCACTTGTTTTATATTATATATAACTACTCATAAAACATTAATGCACTCTTGATTGGGATTGCTTTATGATAAAATATAACATTTCAACACTCCCCCTCAAGGCCAATCATAGTCAAACTTTTCTAATTTTGGTTTTGGTAACGGCTTTGTTAGCACGTCGGCAATCATTTCTTCTATTTCACAATATTTTAAATTGATAACGTTATCTTCCAAAGCTTTTCTTATGAAATGATATTTTATATCTATGTGTTTATTCCTACTATGATACACGTTGTTTCTTGCCAACTTTTGACAACTTTGATTATCATTGTAAAGGACGATTGGTCTTTTTAAATTGAATTTTAATTCCGATAAGAATTTTGTCTGATACAGTGCTTCTTTAGCTGCTTCAGTAAGGCTCATGTATTCAGCTTCTGTGCTTGATACAGTAACATTTTAAACAGATAACCAGTATAGGAACGCCGATCATCAATAGATGATCCCCAACCTGCATCTGTATAACATTCCATTTCTTTCCCTGAAGTTCTATAAATTAGTTCTAAACTTATTGTTCCTTTTAAATACCTTAACACTCTTTTTGCGGCAATCCAATGACTCTCGTTGTAATTTGTGTTAAATTGACTTAAGTTAACGCTAAATGTAATATCTGGTTTTGTACCAATTGATGCATACATTAAACTTCCGATCAGACTTTGATATGGATACTTTTTCATTATTTATTCGTTTTTTACTTCAGGATTTTGTAATTTTGCATTTGGGTCCATTGGTGTACTGACTGGTTTTGAGTTTTCCATACCAAATCGCTGTAGAATATCTTTTATACACTTCTTTTGTGAAATTTTGATCGTTGTCTCTCTTTTAAAGGTTTGTTTTTATTACTGTTTTATATCTGGACCCATAACCTATTAAGATTATGCGTGATATGTTTTAACAGTTTAACAAACCTTTTTATGATTTTTATATGTATATTGACAATTAATAATAACAATATTCACTTGTTTTATATTATACAGGGTGATTCACATAAGAACCGACACAGAGCAGGGACATGTAGAGGACAATAAATTAAGATGATTTAACGTAACTTACCTCTATACTATGTTGTACACCTGAGGACTTATAGGCCTTCAAAGTTGGGTTTTAAATTTTTAAAAAGTTCAATATCTTCGTAATACATTAAGCTAGAAAAACCAAATTTGGTATACGTTATGAGTGTACCAAGGGTATTTATTGATAGCAAATTGAACTCAATTGAGGCATTTCAAAGGATTGATTAAGGGTGATGGTACTCTAAATTTTGACAGATTTTTTTAACGTTTTGGCGGATTTAATACATTACTACTTCATTTCATGTGGAATTTAATTCTAAAACAACAATATGTTACCAATTAATACCGTTGGTACACTCATAACGTATACCAAATTTGGTTTTTCTAGCTTAATGTATTACAAATATATTGAATGTTTTAAAAATTTAACAGCCAACTTTGAAGGCCTATAACTCCTCAGGTATACAATTTAGTATATAGGTAAGTTACGTTAAATCATCTTAAATTATTGTCCTTTACATGTCCCTGCTCTGTGTCGGTTTTTATGTGAATCACCCTGTATAGCATTGAAAACCACGAAATCAACAAATTTTCATATTTTCGTATTTTTCTCGACATTCATACATCTGAGAGCAAAAGTGTAAAAGAGCAATATTGTTAAGAATAAAATTTGCTACAACTTTTATTCTAAAAGTCCTTTTGTAATATGCTCCGAATACCGAGCGTTAGCATCAATAGCATTAAAAACCACGGAATCACAAATGTTCATATTTTCATATTTTTCTCGATATTCATGTCTTTGAGAGCAAAATTGTAAAAGAAATATTTTGTTAAGAATAAAATTTGCTACAACTTTTATTCTAAAAGTCTTTTTGTAATATGCTCCGAATCCCGAG